AAACATTCAGCCTTTGTTGGGTTTTTTTTTTTTTTTTGGATTTGGCTAATTACTTTTCTTTCAACAATTCAATTGGAAAATGGATTTGATTCCAGTATTTCTTTTAAGAGACTACCTTTTGAAGAAAATGCCAAAGTAGTCTTCAAAGTAAAAAGACAGACAGATTATAAACATTTTTCCTAGTAGTTTTGCCATTGCTTCTGAATATAGTTCTTACTGTTACTAACTATTATCAATCTTATGAACTCCAGGGCAAAAGCAATTCTCTTGCCTTAGCCACTGGGGTAGCTAGGACTATAGGCCCAGTACACACCACTAGGCTATTAACTGTAATTTGAAGTAAATGATCTCTAAAGGAGAGGGATTTGTAGAGGTATTTTAAGCAAGTTACAAGACTATTCCAATAATAAAGACTCTCCAGTTGTAAATTATTTGTTATCCATATTTCATGGTAAAAAGATGCTACAACTCCTTCATATTGCTGTAGGTTTATTATTGCAGCTAGATCAGTAGTTGTTGTTATTAGTATATAGTTTTAAATTGAAAATAAATTTCTTCAACTAACTTAGTCCATCACCACTTCCCATACACATACTATATAATTGTGTGATTTACTTTACATACATCTCATTTCTGATGATTGAACAAGTACTTTACAAGGCCCGGTACAAGTATCAAGCCTTCTTGACAGCTTTTCTACTTCACATTCCTTAAAACATTGTTATTAGTGTTTTTCTTAATTGGTGATATTTTTTATTTTTCCTCTGGACTTAATTTCTGTGATGGGAAAATGTGGTAGTTTCCCAGTCATCCATAGCTAAATGTGCTTAGCAGAAATATTTGTGCACAGAATTTGGTCAATGAATCTTCTTGAATTGCTTAACATTATACATGAAACACATAATTGTTGATTGACTTACTTTCATACACAGTTATGTGGTTAAGGGAGAGGAACATTATAGAACAGAAGATATTTCACCAGCTGTTTTCTGAATCTTCAGGGTAAACTGCCTGAGGCATTGACTAAGGAGCTGGGCTATGATTCTTCTATATAAGGGACAATTTATGATATTTTTCAGACAAAAAGAACAGAATCATATGCTATTTGTAGCATAATTTGAAAAARCCTATATAGATTCTTGCTTTTATTCCTGTATGCATAAACCATTATAGTAGTAAAAATTTATTCCTTGAAGTGCATTTTTCTTCAACATGTTACATAAGAAAACAGAACCAATAAACATTAAAAAGAATTTCTCTCATCCTTCAAAAAATAACAAAAGCAAAACCCAGAAATTCAGTGCCAAAGTGTTTCATAGGCTTTGAAGTAAATCAAGTCTCTTATTTTTGATTATCATAACTTCTGAAATTTACATTCAGTTTTTGACATGATGTGCCATAATTTATTCAAAGAGAAAGCCTATTTTTATATCAAATTGTAAAGAAGAAAAATTAAATGTTATAGTATGAAGATAATTTAAGTGAAATATTTCTGGCAGTTTTTCTGCTTTTATAATTTATTCTGCATGTTCTTCATAATCATCACTTATCTCCATTTCAAAGAAAGCTGAACACTGATGTTTTGTTCCTTATTTTATTAATATGAGAACTAAAACCAAAAAACCACAGAACTGCTTAATAAAAYAGCAAAGTCTGAGAAAAATGTGAATGCTTTAAAAATTTTACTACTTTGAAATTCATATATCTTATGTGTATGCAGCTTTCTCACTTTTTTAATTTAAAGAATTATCTTCATAAAAATTTTCCTCTAAAAATGTCCCATTCCTGACATATTCTGGTAATGAATGCTTCCATTTGTATTTTAATAATAAATATTATTGCTCTGCTGATTTTGCCTTTATAAAGCTCATTTGCTAAAAGAGCTAAGAGAGGTAAATATATCATCTGTGACTTTCTACAGTAGTCAAAGAAAATGCTAGAATGTTATATAATAACATTGCATTAATCAAGTTTTATTCTAGTAATCAAAAAGAACTCTCAAACATTACTGATAAGAATTCAAATAGGTACAACTACTTTGGAAAACTGGTAGTATCTACTAAAGCTAAACACATTCATGCTCCTTCTATGACCCAGCAATCCCTCTCATAGAGAAAGTCTTGGATGCAACATACACATTACCAAAATTGTGTGTGTGTGTGTGTGTGTGTGTGTGTGTGTGTGTGTGTGTATGTATATATAAAACCTCAAACATTTGAGAAACCCAAATGTTCAACAGGGTAATGGAGAAATTAATTGTGGTATAGTCATACAATGGAATAGCATGCAGTAATAACTTCCTGCTACATGTGACAACATGGATACATTATATAAACATAATGCTCAGAAAAATAAAGCAGACTCAAATGACATTTTATATAAAGTTAAAAAGAAGTAAATAAGTTTACTGTGTAAGTCCAAAGAGTGATTACTTTTGGATAAGATAATTCCTGGTAAAGGATATGATGGTGAGAAAGGTTGGGGTGATAACGAGACTTCTACTTTTTGATCCAAAATCTCTCTACCTGGGCATGTCTCCTCTGTGAAACTTTTTCTAGATGGAAACTTTATTTGTGTGCTTTTTATATGTATATCTCACCTAAAAAATTAAAAAATTTAAAACCTATGAAAAAACTTTGTACCAGCAAATCATTTACTTATAAATGTTSATGGCTTTGATTGGTTTTCAATCCTCCAAATTGACCTAGAATTTTTTTAAATTATACTTAGGAGGAGTAAGTCCTAATGTTATTTAGCACAGTAGGGTGCTCACAGTTAACAATATAATATATTTAAAAGTAACTTGAAGACAGRATTCTGAATATTCTAAACACAAGGAAATGATAAATGTTTGAGGTGATGCTTATTCTAAATATGACTTGATCATTACACGGTGTATACATTTTCTCAAATATCACACTGTACCCCATAAATAAGAATACTTCTTGCATGCCAAGAGCTAAATAAAACTTWAAAAATAAAWTAAAAGACAAATAAGTAGGGGCATTTAATATGAAATACTTCTTTATCTTAATTTACCCTTTGTTTCCTATTGCTTAATACATCACAAACAGATTTAATCAACAAAGACTAGTTTCCATAAAGACATTAATTTACAAATAATTTCCAGTAGAGGGAGCTTCCCTTTCTTTACTATAGGAAATCCTCTTTCAGGAACCATCAATGAATGTGAAAACATTTAATTTTCACACATGATTATTCTTWATAGAATTATGAGTTACTCTCACCTAAGAATAGYCCAGTATACAGATAAACCTTAACCTTATTCGAATTATTAGAGAAGAAAGTAAATTTAATGAAGAATATAATTATTACATAAAATTCTGTATTATCTTTTTTCATAGATTACATTTTTTGATTATTCATAAAAAGCACTTTAACTAAAATTACTCAATATAAATAAAGACAAATTATTATTATCAATTTGAAATATATTTTTGTAAATTTCAACTAAACTAGTATTAAATCAAAGGATCTAGTGATGAGTATTATGTATTTAGAAAATAGCAAATGATAGCAAATGTCACGGTGAATTGCCACTGTACATATCTGACCTCATTAACCAAAATATCTTACTGATCTTAAGTATCTATCATAATAAAATAATCTGATTTCATTGGGAAAAAGCACATTATTAAACATTAAAAAGAAATTATAGTAAAGTGAATAATTTCTTTCAAAACATGAACTTAGTACTCTTTTACATGAAATTTTCATAAATTTAAAAAGCTCCACACATTTTGTTTTACTCAATACATATAAAATTTCTGGCAATTGTAAAGTTATCAGAATTTAGCATATCAAAACTTTTTTACTTAAAATACATTAATTCACAATAGTTCAAAACCTTAATTTAAAAAAATCAATAACTTGGRAAATATAATAACATTCTCAAACAGTTCCTATTTTATAGATATTAAAATAATCTGAATTTCTGTAAGGTAGTTTATGAGATACATTTGATATTTTTTAAGGCAGCCCAAAGATTGAAAAAAAATTGACATACTAACACAGAAAAGAATACTTCCATACTTCAAATAGAAATCAGCATATGCATAACTTACTCAAATTATTTAACTCCAACCCTCTTGAAGAGCTTGCCACCAATAAAAAATGGAAATCTTATGATAATTATATGGTAATGGTAAAATAACATTTTGTAWTGATGGTTCAGAAATCTGTATGAGCCGTATCTTGCCTTTATGTATTATTTGATTAAGAATAGGGATTAAATTAGCTGATCTTTTGGCTAGACTCTGATATCCTCTTTAAATTAATTTTTTAAAAAGCCTATTGAATATTATTGGAACATAATTTAAAAATKATATGTCATAGARCAATTTTATAATTTAATAGGTTGGTTAAATACTTTCTTCAAAATAATTCTTGATATCAAACATATCTAATGAATTATTTATGATTTTTGCCTTCATGTAGTAACTGAACTAGGTCATTAGAAAATAGTACCTGCAAGATCCTTAGTTTTCATTCATTTGACTTAATCTTAGAATATATCAGCAATGTTCAGAGTTTCTTTGATCTGCAAATACWTGTGTTCTATATTTCTGCCTTTTAAAAAGTTAGTAATGTCCCATTTCTAATTACAAGATGTTTCATAACTTTTAAAAAGAAAAAACTCACATATATGTCACTTTAAAAAGGAAATTGTAAAACAATATGTGAGAAGGAAAATCTAGGCTTTTGGAATAATTTTTTTTCTAAAGTAATCTCAGCTGCAAATAACTTAAGGTGCTATTTACAAATACACAAATCAGTGAAAATAAGGAACATCACCTGTTTTCACAGGTCCCAATAGATGACTGCTAGGCAGTTTTACATAGAAAACAATACGAGTTAAGGGATGATTGCARTAAGTCACTATAGAATGCAAATTTCTTTTAACTTCAGCAATAACAAGTGGTTGCAAGGTAATGCACAGACTTAATGATTCCTCTGAGTGTAAATACAAGTAGACTTACCTGAGTAATAGTGCTGCTTCCCAGAAATAAAATCCAGAAACTAATGTCCGAAAGTGTCTCACGTGTGCCATGATACGGAGAGATATATTCACGATCCTGATAACAGACTTATCCAAGGCATAGGGAACCAGAAAGAGAACTGAAAACGTGCAATCTAAGCCCTTGTGGCGCTGGTGGAGACAAACGCTAGGGAAGCTTCAGCACCTTAGACAGCTCCTTGCAGTACTCAGACCCTCTCGTCAAAACACTTGCAATTCCTGTTTGACCCCTTCCTCTGGGCAATGAGCAGAAAGTAGAGTCACAGGGTTACAAATGTATAAGTGATTTATACAGTGAAACCAGAGAAAGGAGTGAGACGAAGTGTCCGAAGTGCCTAGATTCTGAGCARCAGTTCACTGAAGCTCAAACAGCAACGGAAGAAAGCTTGTCCTTTCTTGGATCAGACCCACGATAAGARGAAGAACTGCAGCAACTGCCAAAACAAGGATGCTTCTCCACCTGCTCCTATTGCAGCCCTCCGGAATCACGTTCTCCACCTTTGGGAAAAACCCCAGCAAGCGCGGCAAAGGGAAGTGGGGGCGGAGCTATACGCCCTCTCTTCAGCCAATCACAACTGCACAGCGGATCAGAGTGACAGGCTACTTAAAACAGTAGGAGGTGCCTGGCATTTAATCCTAAAAAAAAAAAAAAAAGGGAAAGAAGATAAAAAAAAAAAAAATGCTAGGAACTGGTGCGAAACCCAAAGGCAGTGAATGGAGGGAGTTGGAGGAAGAATCCTCAGAGCTGCGAACTGGGTGGAAGTCAGCTTTTTTCTGGGTTGGGTAGAATAAACACGCGGGAGGGATCCTTAATATTCTTTGCAGGAAAATGCACGGTTTAGTAAAGACAGGTCTTTTTGGTTGTCACTGTCATTGAGACCTTACACCAGAATATACAAGTCAATAGTAAAGACAGGCCCTGGAAAAGGAATAGCTAACTAGGGAAGGTAACACAATGTGATGCAGGAGCGCAGGCAGAACGGAAGAATCAGCTGCTTCTAGAATCCTCTCAAGCCTGGCCAGCTTCTGGATGGTAAACATTGTTGACTGGTGTAAGTTTAGTTTCTTTCAGTAATAATGATGGTTTCCCAAAGATGAAGGTGSGAAATCTCAAGAGATAACTGCTAGAGATACAAAGCTACTTAGTATTTGGCTTTCTTTGCCCGTTTTACTTGTCTTAATAAATTTAAGGGAGGAGGATAACTAGSTCATATGGTATCATTGCTACATCTTTTATCGTTTCAGATGATGGGTAGTCTCTATCCCTTTTCCTCTCCCTTTTCTCCTCTCTCTCTCTCCCTCCAATGACCATCTACACTAGTTCCTGTACTGGAAGACGGAAAAGGAGAGAGAACTTCATATATTTCAAAGTAATATAATTAAAGAATTTGAACCATATGCTCTTAAGTATTTCTAGTGGTTTTTATTTACTGTAGGCCAGGAAAATTATCACTCCTTGAACTTTAGCTTTTCCCAAAAACTCCTTCAGATTTTATTCTGAAAGTGCTGCTTTTATCTCTTAACTTTTCCAGTGATTAGGTTAAATGTCAAGAATATTTTCTTAATCTTTCCCACAACGTTTTTTCTTAAATTTGAAGGCTGATTGACATATTAAGTATTCCTGAAATTCTGTATTTAACTGTAAGAATATCAATCACAACCTTTGAACCCTCTCAAATAAGAGGTCAGAATGAAAAAAAAAAAAAAAAACTCTTTCTCTCTACTCTTTGGTAGATAAGCTTATTTATAGTCAGTGAATATAAAGAGTTTTTTGGATTTATTTATGTTCTTCATATATCTGATTCTTTTCACATTTGGTTTTCTGACTTAAATCATAAACTTCCAGAAGTATCATCAGAAATACCATTGATTCTACCCAGAAATATTTACACCTTCAGAGGGTTCATACCATTTTAACTAACGTAGTTTTTCAGTGAATCCTTTGAACGCTTAGTAGGCCCAGTGATGTTTAGTTGGTTATTCTTTGGATAGCAGTAATAATTATTTTAAACTCATAATAAAAAATGAGTCATAAATAGTTAACAAAAGTTCATTTTGAGTTTTTGCACAAAATAATATCATCTACTATGGTGTGATTTTTACTTTAACTTCTGTTAAGGAGGAAATATTCAAGTTGCCTATTGAAGACAGTAAAAAAGACTCTATTCAACACTCATTGAGACTGCAGCATAAAGGAAAAACAGAAGGTGTAAAATGCTGATATGAACGGAGACATTATTTTAAAAGAAAAAGAGTAACAGTGTATAACATACATAAACTAATGAATATCTGGAAAGAAAAAAGGAAAAGAAAGTATATCAGCTAAATGCTAATAAGAACAACAAAATTTAGTATAGCCATACTAATATTAGGAAAAATAATAGTAATGATGAATTTACACACAAAAACGTATTTATATAATGAATAAAATTTCACGAAAAAGATACGAAATTCCCAAATTTGCAGGCTTCAATAATATAACATTAAAAATGTAAACAAACAAAAATTAAATCCAGTGCTATAGCGGGACATTTTCATATACAATTCCAAAACTGATATACAATTCCAAAACAATTTCATATACAATTTCCAAAAAAATTGGGAAACAAATTTTGACAAAAAATATATAATTAACAAATTTGAGTGAATAGCTATAAAACATTGCCTAAGGTTTGTTACAAACCACATTGGACATCTGTAAAAATTGAACCCATTATAGGATTGTAAACAAGTTTCAACTAATTTTAAAAAGTACTATCTTGAGAATGCATTTGTAACTGAAATTGAATAAAGTTAAATGAAGAAATTCTATATTGCAAATCACAAAATATTTATAATTTAAGGATAATGAGAAGAGTACAAACTAAATGCAGCTTCAACTGTGATTAATTAGAATAAAGTATTCCTAAATGGTCATACAATAAAGGCTGAAGATTAATGACACCAATATACAACTTAAGATGTTAGAATGAACATCTGAATAAATCTCATAAATATAGGAGGAAGAAGATAAACAAAATAGCTTAAATAATTAATAAGGAGGAAAACAAAGATAAAATAAACATTATTACAGTAAGTGTTCTTTTGAATAAATTTTAAATTTAATAAATTTCTCATAAAAATGAACAAGAAAAGAAGAGCAACAAATAAAGACTATTTAGTACTGAAGTATGAGTAATAATACTATTGTCAAATTATAGGTAATCAGGATATGTCCTTAAAGATCAAGAAGAAAAAGTCTGAGAACCTGGTAAAAGACAAATATGGAAACATTTTGTGAACATGAATCAAAATGAAATAATTTATTTGTATAATTAAAAATGGTCAACATTATTTGCAAATAAAGAATACAAATTAAATCATGACCTAACAGATTGTGAATAGTTAAGTTAAGGGCTGGGGATGTGGCTTAGTGGTTAAGTGCCCCTGGGTTCAATCTCCAGTACCAAAAAACAAACCCAAATAAAAAACTTACTAATTCCTTCAATGTATTTTTTTGCATTCCTTAAGTTGAAAAATATACTACAGAATTTATACTCTTTCCACATTAGAATTATCTTCAAGATATGGTTCTTTTTTACCCTTATACTAATAATTGTAAATGTACAGGTAATATTATTTGAAGATGCTTTAAAAATTTATCTTAAAATTATGATATATAATTCCTATGAATTGCTTTGGGATTGCATATTTTTAATGTTTTTGCTTTTAGATAAAATACTTAATACATTTTCAATGCAAAATATTTTCTATAGTAAGTTTATTGTAGTGAAAACTTTAGGAGTTAGGGCCTAGTAGGAGAAAGTGAGTCACGGAGGGCTTGTCCTAGAATGGTATATTTTATTCACAGCCCCTTTTTTGCTCTCCCTTTCAGCTTCCTAGCTTCTTTAAAATTGGCAGCTTTCCTCAAACCATGATGTACTACCTCATGATAGACCCAGAAACAATAGGGTCAGAGGATGGATCATGGACTGAAACCTTTGAAACTGAGCCAAACTAATAACTCTTTCCTCCTTTTAGTTGTTTTTCTCAGGTATTTTGTAATACTGATGGAAAGCAGACTAGGACAATTTCTTAAAATTGAGAAACTTTATTTCAACACTCCTACCCATCTACTTACCAAACAGTTATATGTAGCCCTTTTCTATATAATTTGTTATTGAAACATTGTTTTTCAATCATACCAATTACAGAATTTATCAGAAATACTGTAAATTTCAAGTTACATTCTGAGTTTGTTCAACTAGACTGGAAATAGGTGTTTTTCTTTCTTTCTTTTTCTTTCTTTCTTTTTTTTTTTTTTTTTTGTAGTTTTTTGTAATGCTGGGGATTGAACTCAGGATCAACTGGGTTATATCCCTTGCCCTGTTTTTTTCTTTTTTTTTGTACTGAGAATTGAATCCAAGGGTACTTTACCTCTGACTACATACCAAGTCCAGTTTTTATTTTTTATTTTGAGAACAGGGTCTTACTAATTTTCTGAGGACCTCAACTAAGTTGCTGTGGCTGGCTTAGAACTTTCAATCCTTTCGCCTCAAATTCCCAAATCACTGGGATTACAGGCATGTGCTACAAACCCAGCCTGGAATTACATTTTAAAAATATTTTAGAAATTCATTTTTTAAAAATCTAGTTTTGGTCTATATCACAATCTTAAAATTTACTGGAGTGCTTCATAAAGAATATAGGATAAATGAATCAAGTGAAAAAATATATAATGGATATTGCTTTTCTAAATTGTAACTTGTATCCAAAATGATTGATTTGTCTTCATGTAATAATGACAGAACTAATAAATGATCCATATAAGAATTCAGCCTGTTTCCATAGCTAATGATATTTTTCTTATTAAACAGATACTACTGAGATAGATGTTTCTGAATTAGGTGCCCAAAATGAATGTATTAGAACTCTGATATTAAAATACTGGTAATTCATAATGGCAGTTTCAGTTTTGTGGTCATGAAGGTTAGTATTTTATTTGTTTTCAAGCTGTTTTTATTAAGTATTCTCTGGATGAGTTTGAAGTTTTAATTATCTAGGATATTTAATATGCATTTTCTTTTGCTCTTGAAAGAAAATA